CGGGACCTCATATTCATCGAAATGTTAAATTAGGCTTTGTGATTTTCACATTATTTAGTAGAATGAACATCATACTATTATTGAAACGTACAAGATATATTTTGAACAAGCGCGTGTGCATTTTTTGTTTATTAAACAAATTGCTGAACCATTAATACGGTATGTCGTACTGTTTCTTTCAAAAACTCGTTTTGACATCGTGCCCCAGTGTTTTAGTGCGTATCTATTTTAATGCACAGATTTGTTTAACAACAAAGATCGTTGATGAGGGCTGACAAGTTCAGTCGAAGCTTAATTACATTCTAATAAACCGCCATTATCACTACTGATATCATGTACGTTGTCGACCGCAATAAATCTGAGAATTATAATGTTTAGTGCATTATTAGCCGGCATATAAGTGTTGCTGGTATACCTCTTTATAATTCAAACATGGCCTGCTGTTAGTTGCTAACAAATGAGCTGCTATGACCATGCTTCATTTGGCTGATTCAGGAGAAAAAAGACTGATACACAAATTCTGATTCATCTTCTGATGACCTGATGATTGCTCTAATAATGCTACACCGTGTACATGAAAGGCGTCGGCAAAGAGACTGCCAACACCTGTGTGGGGGTGCCCCTGACCATGAATTGGGATTCTGCAATTTCAACAGCGTGCCCAGAAATGGTAAGATTATGTCATATTCAAGTCCTTCCTTTGTCCCATTGTTGTACAGAAGAGAAAGAATTTTATTTAGAGAGCTTGTTTTAAACAAATGAACCATTCACAGTCATTTTTACCATGATGACTAGTTATTGTCCCATTAACTGATGGTGGTGCAATTGGGTAGTGGGATTCTTTGCACGCCAGAGAGAGGGTTAAAGCGCAGCGCGACATATATTTTTTTATTAACTGCTAATTCCTTTAATCAAAAAATTCTCTCCATTGTGCTTCGGTGCAATCAGCCGTTGACCTACGAATAATAAAGACAGCGCGTTGCTTACCTGTGGCCATGTCAAAGCATGTGAGGTAAATGGCCATTCCGTTCGATGGGTACTCTTTAGGTCTTCATTTCGCCTTGACTCACATGATGACTGACTCAATGCCAGCACAAGGTGTAAAGTAAATTTAGGGAAGACAGCCAGTGCGTAAATTTAAAAAAATCACTGTACTGGCTATTCCGGCAATAGGCAAATATTCTTTCAACGTTGGCAGCGGATATGTACTTCAGCTGACAAGCAAACAGCATAAAACACAGTTCGTTTATACAAAACGCAAAAAATAAAACGTCCTCCAATTTCGTCGGCTTTTGACCTGTAAGGGCTCTGGCGTGTCGGCAGAGAGTCCAAGAGGTCTACTTCAAACTCCGGAGGTGCGGGTTCGACTCACCTGGAGGGCAACTCTGTCTTATTCACGAATTCCCATGAGCAAGGATTTGATGACACACTGCTTCAGACTGGGGTTGCTCAATCGGTAGGGCGTCGAATTCAGAGTCGATAAATCCTAAGTTCAAGGCCCCGTTTGGTTATTCATCCTTTTTCCTTCTGAGATTGATAAATGAGTACCGCTGTGAAAGAAGGAACAGGAGACTAAACGCTGTACTTGGCACATAGCTGTTGATTCTGCCTTAAAAAGTAAGGTACCTTCGGCTGATGGCATAGAAACGGAGTTCAGCACCGCACCATCGACTTCATGAATAAAGCGCCATAACGGTGATAAAATATTCCTCCTTTTTAAACGCTATAACAGAGTAAGGGATGCGCTTATGCTGACAGCAACAGTCGTTGCACAAGCTAATAAACTAGACTCGATCTGACCTATGAACCACATGAAGGATTTCCGAAATAGCCATCTGTGCCGGTAAGAAAGCCCCTGAAACACGAGCGAAAACCTCACTACGGATAAATCATTCGATTGACCATATTCTTTGCATCTTCATTATAACCACCTACCCTACTCACAAAGGAAATATTCGATCATCATAAATGGCCAATGAAGAGAAAAACATTAAAGCAAAATTTAATTACGTAAATTATTTGTTTTCGTACCGCAGCTAATAAAAGTTTAGACTCACATCAAGGTGCTAGTATGCAGTTCCTTTTAATGAATTATTTCTTGATGAACTAATTCACTGCATTGCCTGCCACTTTTGTTGATCAACTCAGATGCCACGTGAATCAAGGCAACAGGTATAAAGCTTGACCATCCAAGAAGAACGAACCATAAATTCAACATACCTTTTCGAGGCTGTGTCGAAACGTCATGTCTTCCCAATTATTCGCAAATCAGCCATTCCTCTTTATTTTCTTGTGTCTCCCTAAGCATGATAAAATGAACAACCTTCTCAAAAGAATTGGTAGCTTATAG